TTGCCCCAAACAACACCTACCCTTCTCCTCTTCTCTCACTAAAAAAAGGGTGTTGGGGTGGGGGTTGGAGGATAAAATCCTATTCAAAAAAACAAGTCTTATTTGATTATATGGAATCTGTACAGTTAAAACCCCTGACACTATACTGTATAGGTTAGGAAATGTGATGTACTATAGATAGATATCCATGTTTTTTCATATGATGCATCATTTTATAAATACATTTAATTAAAAAATCAACTGAATATAATTTGATATCTTGTTCCTCCAAGTTTTTTCTTTTAGACACAAGTGTGAACATGCAAATGTGTCAGAATGCAACCCAGTTAATGTTCCCTTTAAAAGGGTTAAAGCTAAGAAATAGTAGAAAAACAGTAATAAAGCCTTTACCCAGCGATAAAATGATTCTTTAGCTATTTAATCGATTTGTTTTTAGTTACTTTAAAATGAACAGTGTCTTCTGATGTTTGATCACTGACCTGTGTGATATCACACGCAACTTCATTATTAAGGGTGTAACCTATCCTATCAACCAATCCCTTATATTACCATGGAGGGCGGACTAAGAGAAGGCAATGTAATATGCCCAAACAAACTATCATTATATCAAAGATGAGCCAGTCAGCAGGGATTCAGACACTGAACAGGATTCTTAGAGTATCAGAAGAATAAAGTTTAGTATCTCAACCAAAGGCGTGTCTGTGCAGAATGATGACGTGTGGAGATATTTCTGTTCTCTTCTAGAGTTAAGGGCCTCTAAGTTCAGGCAACTTTCGGCTCCGGAGGGGCCATTTGTTCCAAACATGGGGACAATAACCTGGCATCAGCTGGCACAACAGGTGTTGGAAACTGTTTGGTCTCACACACACACACACACACACACACACACACACACACACACACACACACACACACACACACACACACACACAGAAAAAACATTATACAGCTGAAAATATGCCACCTAAGCCACCTGTGATGGAAATAAATATATAATACGCCGCATAAATATAGCACGGGACATCTCTGGCTTCATTCCTCATAAAGTTTAGTTGCTGAGCAAGCGCTTGTAATAACCGAATCTCTGCAAGCAATGGCTGCGTGTTTTGAGGTTAAATAAGATTCAAATGAGGGAAAGTCCCCTCGTCTGTGATTACAGCATCTGCATATTTCATGCAACCGAACACTGTTGTTCGGCAAACTGAGTGCGCAAAAGAAAGTTTCAGCAGAATAAGCAGGTGAAGAAAATTTGACGTTCTTTTTCTGCAGTGACAAAGCAGAGCGTGGACACATCGAGCACTCACACTGGATGCAGCGAGAATGTGAGAATGTGTATTCAGTATGCTACACAAGGTCATGTTAAGATAAAAATACCTAGTAGCCTTTTATGGGTCATCTTTTAAGTTGAGCCTGACACTTGACGAAGTGATCCATGTGCAGCGCTCGAGCATTTTCACACTTTCCTTCCAGCTGCAACGCTGGAAATGTTTGAGTTTCGTTTTATTGTAACCGCTGACTGTGACATTTCTACGTACTAGGAAAAATCTTCTTTTTAAATAGTTTAACACACCAGTAAATTTATCCAGTTATGGACTGATAATGAGTTGCTTGTATGGAAGAATTTGTTGCTAGGTAGGGCACTTCAGTGCAATTTATGCTTCAATATAGTGAAAAATGAACCTTCAGAGCTGCTAGAATTATTATTCAGTGAAAGTGCTGCTTCTTTATCGGTGGCGGTAAAGCTTTTAGGACAACGCTGTGAACCACTCAGCAACCTTCCTCTAAGTGTGGGTCAAATAGCAGAGATGCCATAAGCATCCCAGCATTCTGTATCACACTTTTCATTGCATCCTCTAAATAAATCTTGCCCTCCTCGCTTGACCGGACAAGAATAAAAATGGGACATGCACCAAATGGTGTAACTATAGAAACAAACACAGTAAGCTTTTTATATTCTGTTACTCTCCACGTTCCTCCCATAGTGAGGAAAAAAGTGAAGACTTAAAAACAAGAACTTCCCATTCAGATAGTTAGAAAAGCCTGATATTGATTGCTGGGCTGGAAGCATGACTGATGAAACAGGCGTGTATAAATCACCCGATGACAGCTGCTTAAGGTGTCTGTCGAGCTGGTTAACTGGTTAACTTGCATTTCTCCAAATTAGACATTAAAGACACGACATGCTTTTAATAAGTGTCTAAGATAAACAGAGAATGAAGCTGGTGTGATGCCAGCCTCTGGTGCCCAGGATCATCTCTTCATCCAGGGGGAAGCCTGTGATGACAGCAGCACTAATGACATCGTGATAAATGGAAAACAAAGCACTCGTCCTTTTATCCCTAACAGCAACGGTGGCAAAATCCAGGATTTGCTGATTATTTTCCTCAGTTTCCCACAATTCCTGGTCTGCGTCATCATGTTCAGAGAACAGGGAATGCAAAGCTCTTTAGTAAACACGTTTCACAGTTTGACATGCTCTCAGCACAAACTGTTGACTTTACCCCCTCGTTTTAGTCACGCTCCAGGGCTCACATTGTTAGCTCGCTGGTTCAAAATGAAACACCTCTTCAGCAACTATTGGAAGGATTGCCTTGGAAGTTTGTGCAGACGCTCAAGGTCCCCGGGAAAAGGATAGATCTTCTTCTGCGGACTAACCCTCTAGCACCACCGTGAGGAGGGCGTTTTTGGTTTTAAGTCAAAGGAGTAATGGATGGATTCACATGAAATATATGAATAAATGATTTTGTCTTTCATGTCTTGACTTTAAATTTGTGTCACGTACCATGATTTACACTTAAAAGTGTCTCCTTTTTGCGTTCTTCCCTCTAAACATAATTATAAGCATTAAGCATGGCTGACTTAAACATGAGGAAAGTGTCAAAGGAGCCACTTTCACGAGTAAATCATAGCATGCTGTTTTCTTGGCTCCAATGGTAATCCAGTTAAGAGGTGACTGTGTGTGATTTTATAGCTGACAAAATCACCGTACACAGAAGCTGGAGGTGATAGCAGTGCTGGGATTTTGTTTTTTGTTTTGTATGATGATCCCAAGTTATTTATTTATTTATTTGTTCATTTGTGTGAGAACCATCAGACACTGCAACAGGTCTGACAACTGTAGGGAATTTCTTTTTTAAATTTATGTATCTTTTTATTTGGCATCAACCTCGCCTGCGTTTGTCTTTGATTTAAAAAAGAAAGAAAGATGGGAAGTGTTTTAAAAAATGGGTCAAGAAAGCGACTTAGTAAACTGGAACTAGTTTAACATTCCACAGCTTAACACGCTGACATAAGCCTTAATGGGTGTTTTGCTTTTTTGAAAGCTGAAAGTTTTAGTGCTCATTCTTCAGATTCTCAGCGTGCCCGCAACTCTTTTCAGGCATGAACATCTCAACTATTTTTAAAGTAGATGAAACAGCTCTCTCCAGCTTTTGATGTGTAAGTGTCTGTAGAGTTACCAGAATACCTGATGTATGAAGATATTCAGAAACACTGGATATCTCAGTACATTATTATAAACATCACATCACATTTTGCTGCATCATTTGTTTCACATTTTGGATTTTCTGGCATAATTCAAGGCTCCTGTTTGAGGACAGCTATGTGGGTGACGATCGTGTGCTGCATCCTGTCCAACCGTATATTTAGTTCTGAATCAGATTGCGGTTGTGCCTCGTGGTTCTCTCCTCATCTCTTGGCATACAAGCATACACTCACCAGGCTTTATTAAGCTACTACCTGCATGAACCACCTTTTCCTGTCAAAGCTGCCTCAATTCTTCGTGGCACAGACTCTGACTTGATCACATCACACTGTTGCTGCAGATCTAACTGCTCCACACGAACACAGACGTTGGAAAACCTTCCACCTTCTCATCTCACATAGATGAAAGAAAGATCAAGGATGTTGAGTCCTGAACATCTCAACGTGGGTGGTTTTAAAAACTATGGTTACACATAGATTTGTGAATGACGCTCTTGCTGTTTGTGCACTGATTCAGTGTAACCGACTCTCTTCTTTTCTCTCTCCCTGGTGTCTTTTGCAGTCTAGATCTCAGCCTCACATAAATTATCTGATTATGTAGAAGTTATAAAAGAAAAAGCTGTTAGGGATCAGCTGCAGGAGGTGATAAGCACCTTGGTAAAGGAGCTCTGACAGATTCTTTGAAAACAAGCTTTGACATCAGAGAGGTGGCTCACCCCTGATAAACCCCTTGTCTCCTCAGAATAGCCGAGGAAGATTTCCCCCACATTCTCTTTGCTCTTGCGCTACTCGCTAGCATCCTAATCATCCAGCCCGTTGTAAATATACACTGCGTATAAATAGGGGATAACTGAGACCTTTGGATCCAGTTCCGAGGAGGAAGAGGTTTGTGTTTTGCTGCACTGGGTGGTTTGACGCAGGGTGTCCATGACTGCGGTCAGGCCGGAGGGGCGTGCATACGAATTTTAGAACCGCTCCTGCCGTCACTGCTGCTCTGCGGGCTCAGTGCAACATTTCATCTGCTTAATGGCGGATTAAAGCATCCTGTGGGGCAGATTGATATAGGCTGATGCTGTCATTTGTCATTAAAGGGGAGCGGAAGCCCATGGAAACAGGCTGGATATAGCAGCTGGATCGGCCCCAAACACTGGGCAGCTCATTGCTGTAGATGGAAATTATAAGAATATTATGTGCCTCATGAATTTAGACAGGAAACATAAATATAGGCCAGTCTATTAGCGATGAGCTGAAAATGGACATGGCAGTTAATTAGGCTTTATTGTGTGTTAAATTGCACGGCCGCGTCTGTAATCGTATTCATGTAGATGTAAATTTGCTGTACAGCACCATTAAATATGATTCTCATTTCAGCCAATATGTTCAGATTTAATTAGTACTAATCATGGCCTCACTACACTAAAAGGAGAAGCAGGTATCAACCTATGTGCAGCACAGTGTTACACCTCACCAAATGTTAATTACTATTTGCTAACGGTGGGGGAAGAAAAATAGGCTTCTGGACAAAGAAAAAAAGTTTTTATTTAATACAAATCAAATGAAATTCAAACGAAAGTCACGTCATAACAAGTGGTGCAACACGAAGCTTCACACTGTTATAGGAAGAACGTAAAACAGCAAAATGGAGCTTCTGTAAAGCACTTCCTCTTAAACTGAGGAAAGCACAATTTGATCAGATCTGACAAGCCTCTGTCATTTTCATATTATTCATATTTTACAAATACATGCCAAAAATGAGTAAAGAGTTTTGGAGCCAGGATTCAAATAACTTTGTTTGGTGAAGTAGCAGTGACCATATCAAGCCAATCATTGTATATACACACACTTATGCATGGATTTATTTACATTATTTATATCAAGGCCAGTAATACCAATGTAGAAAACCTTAATATGCATGTTTTAGTTTAAAATTGTGCTTAAATGATTAGTTAATAGATCCATTAGTTAGGAGTGCTTTTACATTATTTCTGAATGCCTGAAACGGGTGATTCTTAAACAACCATTTTGGAAATGATTACCACTTACAGCCAGTGTATTTATTAAGTGAGCAAATCTGAATGCATATTCTCTGCTTCACACTCACCTTGTAAATTTATAACAATTTTTTTTTTTTTTTACAATATGGCAAAAACGTGTAGTAAGTGCTTTTGTGTGCCTCTCAAATGGATTATGTATAATGTTTTAAATTAAATTAACATTTTTGTTTGTTTGTTTTTGATTGGTTAACAATAAGTGTAAACCAAACAAAATGGTTTGATTGGTGTTTGTCAGCCATTGGGTAAGAGGTGCAGTACACACTTGGACAGAGCGCCAGTCTATTGAAGGGGTTATGACCTGAACAGTGATGAATAAAAGCCACAATACATATTCAGAAGACAAGTTCAGTAATTACTAAAACAACGAAAAGCGAACAATTAACTTTGAAAAAGCTTACAGCACTGTCCAAAAGTCTTGAGATACACCTCAATTTAAAAAGTATTTTGCTTTCAAGAAGCCAGACGTTCTGGTAGCAGGGTCTTGATCAATAGTTCTCCAGGCTTTCTGAAGGTCTTTCAAAGTTTTTCTTTGGACATTGGCTGTTGTTTCACTCCAGTCGTAGTACCTGACATTTTCAGAGAAACATCCATCAGATTTTTATCCACTATGCCAGCGGTCCACAAACGCAGTCGTTTGGTACCGAGCCAACATCCAAAGAAGAGCTTTGAATGTCCTTCAAGAGGCCTGGAGAACTATTCCTGAAGGCTACTTTAAGAAATGACAAGAAAGCTTTCCGTTGTCATACCAAATATTAACTTCACACCTCACTAGAATTATGCAAACTCAGTATTTGATTACATATTGTACGTCCACGTATACTTGGACATGTTTAAAAATAAAAAATGTTTCCGATTTGTCTCGCAAAATACAAAGAAATATTGGCTGGCTCAAGACTTTTCCACATTACTGTATATGCTACAAAAAAAACAAAAAAAAAACAAGCTTGTATCACAGTTATCAGTGAATACACTTTGAATAGAAATATCCTTTTCCCCGACGGCCTCTTTTTTCCTTTGGTCTGCAAAAAAAATAAAGAGAGAGAGTGAGAAAAAAGAAACAGAGCAATGAAAACAGTGCATCCTTTCCCACAGTCACGTGTTCTGCAATCACCTGCTTTTTCCACTTGTAACTTCTGCTTTGGCCAAGTTTATGTGGCCTTTGACATGACCTTTGATCCCTATGGAGAACCATCTGTTTGAGGGAAAGGATGACTGACATAATGCTAACTCTACATCTATTGCTGTGTTTTATGGTTAACTAGTAAGTGTTTAAACAGAAACAAACCAAGTCCCGGAGGTACAAGTGACAACAGCACTGCAGGGCTCATTTTTAGAGTTTTTACAAATCTTTGTCCAAATAATGAGCTGACTTTTAATTTTTATAAAAGGTATTTTCAGAATCTTTACTTGAATACATCAATTTTCAAATTATGTACGGAAGCTTCAAAAGAACAATTAAAAAATTGGTTTAAACAAGAACCGTGACTACTCGAACAAAACAAATTTAAATACATCAACTTTACTTTTCTCTTCTGATAATAACCATCCATTCAAAATCCCATTTGTATGCTCATTGACTCTCATGATACCTCACCCACACAATTAACAGCTGAAAAGGTTACACCATGTGTCATGACCTTAAGTTGTGTGTTTTTTGTGAAGTTTTTATTAGGACTACTGACTTATACAGACTTGCACAAAAATACCTGGATGATAAAATGCTTCAGACCTGACAGATTGATTAGTCTAAGGTTAACTTTCCTGAACCAAGAGAAACGGTGCTCACAGAGGAACATGATGGCGATTTATAGTTTACCTGTAAATAATCACAACATCACCTCATATAATGACAAAAAATATTACAATCTGTGGCTTTGAGGTTCATAATCACAGAGATCTATGAACACTTACACTACGCTTTCATAAAAATAGCCTCAGACAAAGTTTCAGTTCACATCTTGCAGACTAACTGCAGCACCTTCATCTTTTGTGTATTCTGTGGCTTTTATAACACACTGTTACTTTTAATGCAGTGCCTCCACCCAGACAACATAATCAGCGAGTCAAAGTAATAGTAATCTTAATATCATTACTCATGGAAGAATACACACACATTCAATGACTACAGTACAGGAATACGATGCGGTAAGATAAGAAACACTAATTTATCTCATATGGTAGAACTATTGAAGTTGGTGAGCTGCTCTCATAAGGTAGCTTAAAACAGCAGAAATTTTTAGTAATGTAGATTTTTAGCATCTATGAAACTATTTAAATATATGTTTATAAAAGACAGACATCAAACATGGTTTTTGAATCAATGGTTTGAAGCCTCCAGTTTGGAATTTATGCCAGATATGATCATATTTTGGATGACAGAGTAGAGCTGGACAGTTTGCTAAGTGGCTAGCAGTTTTAGCTAATTTGATTAGCAGGGTGCAGCTGTAATTCAGTGATATTTGATGGGGTGCTAGCACAATACATGCTTAAAACACATGTACATGCAGAAAAACAAGCAAGTGCAACCTTAATGACTCTACCTCAACCTTTAAAGCTTCCCGTGACCTAAACCAAACTTAAACGTGACCTAAGTTCAGCTATAAAAACAGTAAAAATTAGACAAAGATACCATTTTTATTTATTTACCAGACTGCAAGCATGTTCATTTTTGAGTTTCAAGTTGTCATTTAAGGATCTATACGACTGCATTTGCTTCATTTTTTCACCTATAGAAGTTAATGTTTTGCTTTTTTAGTGTTGTGGTACCAACAGTTTTACTTAGATTAGCTTAATGATTTTTTTCCCTCTTGAACACGTCTTTAGTGACTTAAACAACACCTGGGGACACGAGGAGCTGCTGCTGACTAGCGCTATAAAGGCGCGGGGTTCCTGGCTAGCTAGCATATTTGCCAGTTGGTCAATAATTAGTGCCGCTAGTAGTCGCTACACATCAAGTTTGTGGTGTGTATCCATTATAGTGAAATTATAGTTCAGTGGTAGTCGAGTGTTGGCAGCGTGTTGAAAGAAAGTGTCTGTCTTAGATGGGGCAGGTGTCAGAAGTCTGTACTATAGCCGGTCTCTACTCTTGCTTGTGGCCTGTCATGAAGAAGATTGAATTATAACCAGTGTTGGGACTGTAACGCGTTACTTAATAACGCGTTACAGTAACTACGTTATTATTGTGGTAACGAGCACGGTAACTAGTTATTATGCCAAAATCAGGAACGCGTTAGTCTGGGATTTAGATAGGGTCGTTACTCGTTACTTCGTGTGGTGGCTATCGCGGAGCTTCCACAGATTCAGTAACATTAGCAAGTGGTGGAGGCCAGCAGGTGGATGAGAGAAAGGGGATGCACAAGGAAGAGAGACCCGAGGCAGCCGCTGGTCCGAGTGTGAACTGAACTTCAGGTAAGAAGTTATGACCTGCAGTCTATCTGTGTCAGATATAACCCAAGTTTAGGTGGAGTTTATTTTCGTTATTCTGACTTTTTCGTACTGCGTACTAGCTAGCATGATGGAGTTTCTATACAGCTGGGTGGGTGCTATGATGTTAATGATGTTGAACTTTATTTTGTTCATAAGGTTAATTATTAGAGTTGCCAAAAAACGGAATCGTCTCGTATTCAGAGAAAATATCACGCGTTTCGTATTGAGGTGAAAAGAAACACAGCGGATGTCGCGCTAAACAACAGCAGCACGTTTAAGCTTGATCAGCTGTTGTTAGAATTTATTTAATATTAATTTCTAGTATCAGCTGATGTTTGCAGGAGCCACAGCTGTAAAAGCTGCTGGTCATGATATCTGTTTGGTTATCTGGTGAGAGGGAAACATGAAGATGAAACCAGGAGATGTCCTTACTGAATCATCAGAGCTGAACAGGTGATGGAGAAACAGGTTTACCTTTTAGGTGACATGAATGAGTTGAAGGGAAGTTATGAACTGTTTCTGAGAGACAAATAACACCAGGATCCTTTTTTACATAGCTGACAGCTGGTAACTGTGCAGGGGCGGGTCTAGCAAAGTGTTGCCAGGGGGCCAGGTAGGGCATTAACAGGGAGAGGGGGGCACAAGGAAATACGTTTCTCTCTTATTCTCATTTAAAATGTCCAGCTTTTAAAAAATAATTATCTGAGTCTTACAACAAACGATTGTATACCATCAAAACAGTGTACATCACTGTCACAACAGCGTTTGTTTTCATTCAAAGGCTTTATGATTTTTCCCTATAATGGCGGGCTGGTCTCTAGTCAAAAGACTGGCAAAGTTATGGAGGCAACACATTAACAAGAAAATTATGAATAAAACCAAAGTTACTTTCCCTAGTAACTAGTTACTTTGAAAGTAACGAGTAACTTGAAGTAACTGAGTTACTTATGATACTAGATCACTAGTTACTAGTAATGTAACTAAGTTACTAATTTAAAGTAACTTACCCAACACTGATTATAACATACTTTTCATGCTGTCTTTTTAATTTTTTTAATCTGTGTGAGTTTTGTTTTCTTTTCAGCTTTTCTTCCTTTTCTGTTCTGGCCCACTCAAAATGTCAGCATTTGACAGATGCACAAGCGACACGCAGTGAGACTGAGCATGTTTGTGGCAGTTGAAAGCCCCTTTTTTAGGCTCCCTGTAGGCAAATACCTCCACAAATGCGCACAACCACAACAACATAAATTAAACATTAGTGTCTGTCAATGTAATATGCGGATTATAGTCTGCAGGTCTGCATAGATTTTAAAAGAGTCTAGTTTTTCCATTTGAATGCTTCGATATAGAAGAACTAAAAGCTTGACTCACTTCACAACATAAAAGCAAAACAAAGTTTCGACTTTTTAGGATCTGTCATGTGACCCAAGTTCACTTTAAACCGTGTGTTACTGATGAGAAACAGAGATGTAATAAAGTCACAGTGTGTTTCTGACAGTTTGACACCGCCTGAGGAATGTGAAGCTGATGCCGGAGGCGATACCAGCAGGTGGATGAATGTCCATCTGTCAGCAGGCCCTACTGATCACAGCAGCCCTGCCAACTGCTCTAAGCCCGAAGAGGAATGTTTAAAAACCAGCCCGGAGAGGACAACCAGAGAGGAAGCATTATGTTGTAGGCTTTTTGGGGGAATCGTAGGTCAGCTACATTAAGTTTTGGACATGAAAATGGTTGCATCTCTTGCCTTCATTGTTTTGGAGTAAATTTTGTTGGTCCACAGATCGGAAGATATCAGATTTGGTCCAGATAACACTCTATTTTTCCTCCATTCAGTCAGACAGGCTCACAGTGTTGGTTTCTACTTCTACTTCTTTGCACCTGTAGAAATTTAATGCAGGGTTTGGAATCCCTGAAAGTCCAGCTAGTCTAAATTAGCCATAATAACTTTGATCAGTCATGTTTAACATTTGTAGAACGCTTTGGTTTGTAAATGCCAGGAAAACTTAATACATGCCCTCACCTTTGTTTTCTGCATCAGTTAATATATGTTACCATGGCAACAAGCTAAACTAAGATAATGAATATCGCAAACGTGACCTTTGGAGCATTGGTATGTCAACATCGGCAATGTGAACATGCTAACAGTCACCATATAGGTCTTAACCTAATTATAGCCTTAGACAGAGGCTAGCATGGCCACTTTCAGATTAGCTGAATTTGAACTGTATCATGTCTGAGTGTGACTGTCCCCGCCTCCCAGCAGTTACACTATTGATTGTGTCTAAAGATGCTTACATCATTCAAGATTCATGACAGCTATGCTTGAAGAAGTGACTGCTGAACAATGTGATATAGTATCCTCATCATTCCTTAATATTGAAAAGGACATGGGCAGGGATGGTCATACCAGGGGACTAGTGTACAGGGTTTATCTATGCAGGCTGAGCTGTAATGTACAGCAGCTGAATACAGCACAGAAAGTAGTGTGAAATGAATCAAAACTCTTTAATATATATCCAAGTTAACAATCTCATATGTTTTACATATATACAAAATCTCCCATGAATAATTCTGTGAATCAATTATCATGCCA